GGCACGCAGCCAGACCCCCATCATGCAAGTGCTGGAAGGAGTCTCCCACTTGGGCTTCCCTAATCCCCGCCGTCACTAACTCAGAGGCTGTTACACCCTCCCTGTGCAGCCTGGATGCTCACCCCAGCCCCCGGCTCTGCACCCCCTGGACTGACACTGGCTGGTCGGTGCACAGCTCGCTGCCACCACCTGGGACAAGCACACAGCTTGTACCACCAAGCTTGCGTGGGCCCTTAAAGAGCCAGTCAGCCTCATTTTCAGGCCTTCACACTGGTACCCTGTGGAAATGGGTCTCTGTGGGTGTGGGTGGCAATGCTGAGACGATGAAGATGGGATTGTCCTGCACTGTCCAGGGGACCCTGTCATGATGAGAGGTGGAGGGAGACACCGCAGCCCGGCAGAGGAGGGAGCAGAGTTCCAAGAGCAGGGGACACAGCTGTGAGAGGCAGGGGTGGGAGCAACCTTCCCGGAGCCCCCAGTGCAGGCCACCAGACCTGATGGCAGAGTTCTGGCCTCCCAGACTCAGAGAACACGGTTCTGTTTTTACAAACCTTTGTAGCAACAGAAACAGATCTGGCCAAGAACCATCACTGTCACCGCCACCTTCACTTGGGAAGGGCCTGCTCCCGCCCACTCATCCCCGTGTGATTTCCCTGCCAAGAGGAGAGCAGGGGACGCAGCAGGGGACTTGACCCGGGAACCCCAGGCCCAGATTGCCGTTCACTCTGACACCACTGGCCTAAGCCCAGGACTCAGCAAGGGCGATAAGGACGCTATTGCAGGGTTCCAGCTGCGGCTACCTGCCCTGCCTGCATCTCCTGTGACTTCCCCCCAAAGCCCACCACAAGCCCCGACGCCTGCTCCTCCTGAGGCTGACCACACACGTCCCCACGTCCTGTCTCCTGTGTCTACCCGGGCGTTCATGCTAGGAGCAGACAGTGGCTCACGCTGGGAGCCATTGCCATTGTTCTAAAGCAGTGGCTATGTCCTTCCTCTCTGACCCTGTGCCCAGTGTCTGTCCATCCCCTGGGGCTGGAGAAGGACAGCAGAGAGAACCTGCCGTGGCTCAGGACCCCCACCCCCAGTACTTCCTAACCGTGTTTATTAGGAACGCTGTGGGACCATGCTCGGTGCAGTCAGGAAGGCTCAGGCTCCTTTCCTGGCTCTGCAACCCACAGCTAAGAAACTGGCCTGGCCGAGCTGGAGCCATTAAGTGCCCTGCCGACACTGTGGGTTCAAGGGCAGGTCCCAGTGAGCTGCTATGGCATAGCATTTGGAAGTTACACACAACTTCTAGGTGTTTATAATTTCAGTGTACTTCAAACACATTGTTTTCAGCTCAAGTCGCCAACATCCCAACACTGTCTGAAGGCTGAGGTCTTCCTTTGCTCTCTCCATTCAGAATCGGAGCGCTCTGCTGAAGGTACTGTGAGGGCAGGAGCGCAACTTCCAGAACGGACAATGACCCAAGCTGGCCTGGGCTGTGTACTTCCTTGCTCCTTCCTTTCCTATTTGTTTATTCGCACATTTATGTATACACCCAACATCCACGGGGAACACATCACACTTGCCATATGTGTGGGAAGGGAGGGTGGGGACAGAGCTTTGAAATGTTTACAATGGGGCCCGGCGCGGTGGCGCAAGTGGTTAAAGGTCCTCGCCTTGCACGCCCGGGATCCCAAATGGGCGCCGGTTCTAATCCCGGCAGCCCCGCTTCCCTTCCAGCTCCCTGCCTGTGGCCCGGGAAAGCAGTGGAGGACGGCCCAAAGCTTTGGGAACCTGCACCCACGTGGGAGACCCAGAAGAGGCTCCTGGCTTCGGATCGGCATAGTATCGGCCCGTTGCGCTCACTTGGGGAGTGAATCATCGGACGGAAGATCTTCCTCTCTGTCTCTCCTCTCTGTATATCCGCCTTTCCAATAAAAAAAATAATAATAATAAAAATAAATCTTTAAAAAAAAAAAGAAATGTTTACAATGCAATTAATTTGGTGTGCAAAATTTTGAAATCCAGGCATACCCATGCAATTGCAAACTGGCTCTGCTAGGAAAGGCGTGGCTTGACTCTCAGACATGCTCTGGTCTTTGCGACGGGATGGAAACCGTGGTGGATAGCACGCGGCTCCCCTCCTGGCACCAGAGACAGGTTCTTGAAGGATAGGAGCCCATACTGGCCAGGAGCCACCCAAGAACTGGAGCCTCTTGGTGGCTCAGAGTGAAGAGAGCCAGCTGCCTAAGGAGACTTTGATCAGCTGTGTTTCAGTGTAAAGTCTCTGAAGCGAGACGTGAATTAGATCACAACCTGGAGTTCTGAAAAGAAACCAGATACGAGCTGAGAAGTGGATGGAACACTGGAATAGCAGGTGGCCTCCTGGAAAGTGGAGCAGCTGGAACACAAACCAGTGCCCACACAGAATGCCAGTGCTTGAAGGTAGAGGATTAGCCAGTTGAGCTATTGGGCCAATCTCACATTGAAATCATTTCTAAGAATCATACTGAAAGGCAGGCATTTGGCTCAGCAAGTAAGATTCCTTAGAACAGCCTGGTTTGGAACACCTGGTTTGAACTCCAGCCCCGCACCTGAGGCCAGCTTCTGGCTAATGCATATCCTGCAAAGCACTAAGTGATGATTCAAGTACTTGAGTCCCTCCAACTGGCATGGGAGACCTGACAGAGTTCTAGGCTCCTTCTGCAGCCTGGCCCAGCCCCAGCTCTTGCAGGCACTGAGGAGTGAAGCAGGAGATGAAAGCTCTCTTTCCAACCCCTTCAAATAAATAAAAAATTGTTTTGAAAAGACAAAAAAGAATCACAGTAAAACTGAAAGGTAAAATCAAAATATCCAACTTCATAGTTTAATTTTATTAGGATGCTAATCATTAGTTTCACGTCTACTTGCATCTTTCAAAATGGCAAATTCCTCAACAGCAGGATTGTCTAGACAAGTATGCTATAGAACAGGAGGGGGCCCTCCCCCTAACTAAACATCAGTGAGCAAGACAGCAGGATCCCACAGAGAGCAGAGACCCTTGGCTCAAGCTTCTCCTTGGAAAGCCTCACCACCACCTACCCCATCCCAAAAATAAAACACCAAAGGACTGACTGATCACCTGCTTCCGGAGTGAAAGTCCTCAACCGCATCAGTACCATGACAAACACCTTCCCTGTTCGTGCAAACACTGAGATGACTGATAGATGACAGGGCATAGAGGTGGCAAACAGACCTCTGATGGACGTAGTAGCTCCACGACAGACAGGCGGTAGATGTGTGTGATTGACGGTTGACTAATGGGTGACCCATAGCTGTCGGGCAGGTGGATGGTGGGCTGACTGACGGTAGGAGCTACATGACCGATGGATAACAGGTAGATGATTAATAGATGGATAGATAGATGGATACCTGAATGCATGACGTGCATGACCAAGGCTCCGTCCTTGACCAGCTTTAGTCCAGCTCCACTGACCTCTCCATTTCACTAGGCCCATCACTAAGTTGCTGAGTTCTGTCCCTCCAAGGCCATCTGGTGACCCTCCAGAGCTGAGTAAATTCCTCATCCCTGCCCCACTGCCTGCCTCTGACCACCTTGGCCCTACCTTAGCTAGGTCCCACAGGTCAAGTGCCATTGTATAGGCGTGGTTGGGGTCTCTGAGGGTCCACTGTGCCTGGAGGCGTGGTCCAGGGCAATGTTCATGGGAGGTGGTGCGACCCTTTAAGTGGCACAGTCTAGCGGCAGACGCTCAGGTCCCAGGGCCCTGACCCCCAGGTAGCTCCCCAAGGCCCAACGGGCGCCACCAGCTCTCTGCCCCTCGGTGACATGACCCCTTGTCCTGACATGCACTCCTGACAGTGCCACAGCCACTCCCCATGCAGTCCTCACCAAGATGGGTCCACACAGGCACCACACTGCAAATCTGTGGGCTAAATGAACTCGCTGTCTTCCTAAGCGGGCTGCCCAGCGCTTCATTGCAGCAATGCCCAAAGCTGACGAGCACCCCCCCCAACCCCTGCCACCTGACCATGCTCTCTGGTAGCAGCTCCCACCCACCTGCCCCTGTTTTTCCTTCCCAGCTGAGCCTGGTCTCGGCCCCATCACTGGCAAATTCCTTGACACCTGAGCGTCTGTGAAATCTGTCCTGAAGGTGCCTCACCATGCTAACAGTGTCAGATAACGGCTTCATAGGCACAGACCCGTGAAAAATGAAAAGGCAAGTTTGTTTTCGGAGTCGTGTGTACCTTTCTCCCAACACAAGGTTGCACTAGCTTGTTGCAGTTCACTTGCACACACGCACCCAAGCAGGGGAACTGGGCCGTCTCACTTTTTCACTTATTTTATTTGGAACGCAGTATTAGAGAACGGGAAGACCTGCAGACGGCTGTGAGGGGTCCCAGGGAAGCAGGGCTTCAGCCAGGCAACCCAGCGGTGGCAGCGGGGCACACACTTGCCTTTTCAGGCCACAAGGGAGCTGGATGGAGTGAAGCCGGCCTTCACAAGGACGCTGGGGTGCTGGCCCACACACGGCACCTTTACCAACCCTCCGTAGGTAGTCCTTTGGGGGACAGAGCCTGGGTGGGTTTTTGGATGCAGTGCACCCCCAAGATTTCAAAAAGACTCCATTTGTCTAATCCTACTGTTTCCACGTGAAGGCCACTGCGTAGGGACTGAGGCCTCGCTTTTTGCAACCAATGACATGGACCCATCCTGGACTCCCCATCCCGGCCCTAGCCAGCACCCTGCTCTGCAGCCTGGCATGGTAAGGGAATCACCAGGACAGGCTTCACTGCCCCACCCCACCCCGCCCCCGAGGCCTTTTCCCCGGCGCTGCCTCCCTCCCTCCCGCCAGCCACTTGCAATTAGCCAGAGCCAAAGGAGCGCCAGCCTAACGGTTCAGGGCGAAAAGCCGCCTGCAGAGGGGGCTCCGGCCGGAAGCCTCCCTGGTTTGGGGCGGCAGGCTGGCAGGGGGAGGAGGGGAAGGGGCGGGTGCAAGCGGCGGCCGGAACGGAGGATGCACACGGGGCTCCTGGGGCTCTCCGCCCTGCTGCAGGCGGCGGAGCAGAGCGCGCGTGAGTGCGGCGCACCCCGATGCCGGGCGCTAGCCGGGGCCACCCCCGAGACCCGCACCCTCCCTCCCCTTCCCCGCGTGCTTCGGTCTGGGTCCAGCACCGCTGCATGCGCTAGAGAGTCCCAGCCCTCAGACAGAGCAGTCCGCCGATCCTAGGAGATGCGCGCGGACGCGTAACTTCCCGCACCCGCGCGGATCTCCCGCAATGCATGGCACCCCACACCCTATAGACGCATGATTTCCTTGCCCCACCCAAGCACGACTCCCCGGCCTATGCCTGCCCTCCCCCTCACCCCCGTGGATGCACGGTTCCGGTGGGCGCTGGATCCCCGCGTAATCCGGGAGCATTTCCCGCCCTTCCCTGCCACGCAAGTTTTACCAAGTGCGGCTCGCACGAGACGCGGTGCGGGCGGGTCTGGGGCAGCCTCGCGCTGCGGGGTGGAGAGGGTACCATGGGAAGGGTTTCGGGGTTTCAGATGCGGTCCGAAGCCTTTGCTAGGAGCACCTGGGCCCGCGCGGAGCCCAGCCCCCGCTCGCCCAGGCAAGATGGCCACAGTTTTCGCGCCTTTCTCGTCTCAACTTGCAACCGCCCGCGCCTCGGTGACTGAGCTGCTAGTAAAACAGTCCCGGGCCAGTTTACCAGGAGCGAGGGAAGCCGGAAGTGAGCGTCACGTAAGGGGCTCCATCATCAACACCTGCAGGCCCCCTCCTCAATTCAAAGACCTGCAGGAGCGGCGCCCCCTGCTCAATAAAAACTCCCTCTGAGACTCTAGCAGGACACGCCCCCAGGAGAAGCCAACAGGTCCCGGGGCGCCGGGAAGGGCTGAGACAGGCGGGGAGGTCCTGACTGGCAGAGAGCAGGTAGAGGATTGGGGCGGGCTGGGGGGAGGCTGCTGGGCGCCAGCCACCTCCGCTGGGCTGCCAAGGCCCAAGCTGTACCCCAGGTGGCAGCTTGTCCGATGTACGCACTTTGGAATTAATATGGGGAAACTCTGGAACATGCGAGTGCATATGTGCTGCCTGCGCCCCTCCAGATCACCCGCACAGTGGCCAGAGCTGTTTGCAGGGGCGGCTGTTGAGCCAGGCACAATGCTGGAGATTGCACAGGGCAAGGTCACAGCCAGCTGGCTTCAGTTCCCCTCTTAGGGGCTAAAGCTGCTAATGGGCAGGCTAATCAGGGCGCGATGCCTCCAGGCTGGCCTCTGGTTGCTCCGCAGTGCTCGCCGCCCTGGCTTGGATGGTCAGAAGAGCTCCCCAGCCGTCTGGGTCTGAAGCGGAATGGATGTGATTGTGGGATCCCTGCCTGTAGGTGCCGCAACCCTGGGTGAGCCCCTTACCTGAGTTACTCTGTCCAGGCAAACTGCAAGCTGAAGGAGAGATGCTGAGCGGGCAGCACAGAGCCAGGCTGACAGACACTGACACACATCTCCACTGTGGCACTTGTACAACCACGTGGTCCCCAGAGAAGAGGCACCACCTTTGGGCAGGCCCAGCTGCAGGGCCCTCAGAAGCTGGTTCCATGGCCTGAGGGCCTACAGCTGCGCAGCTGGGGCTGCAGCACAGCTGTCCTGGCTGTGTTTTGTTTGATACAGTCAGTGAGCACAGGAGATTGCACCCCGTGAGCCTGAGGCTGAGGCCAGCAGGCTTCGCTGAGGTCTCCTGGGAAAGTGCACAGGGTGGGTTGGCTGCTGAGTGTGGGCCTCAGACTGCCAAGGCCCCCACACACACACTGCCTGGGCCTGCACCCTGGGAGGGTCGGCATGTCCCGTGCGGAGGGCCAGGGCTGCAGACAGATGTGGCCCTAGACGGGCTGGTTTGTGTCTGAGAGCTCAGCACATCTTAGGGTAGAGAAAACCAGGGACTGTGGGCCTTGCCTTCTGCCGCCTCCTGGCCATCGCCCACCAGCTTCTTTCCTCCACAGGGCTCTGCACCACTGCGTACTACTTCACCACAGGGCAGCTCCTGTGGGGCTGGCTGACCCTGTCTGTCCTCCTGCCGGGCGTCCTGGTCCAGAGCCTGAGCTACCTGTGGCTCCGAGCAGACGGGCACCCCAGGCACTGCTCACAGCTGTGTCTGCACCTCCTTCAGCTGGGCGTCTGGAAGAGGTAAGCACAGCCAGCCTCCCATTGCCCAGGGGCATGGTGGGCACAGTGCAGGGGAGCTCAGAGCCCCTGTCTCCTCTCTGACACAGATCAGCCAGTACTTGCAGAGCAGTTCTGACATGGGGGCTCCTTCTAGACAGCTGCCACCCTTGTGAAGATGAGGGCGCCTTTCCATGTTGCTTCCATCTAGGGGCAAGCCTCTAGATCCACACAAAACACCTTGTCAGAGGCAGCTCCATGCAGACGCCATGTCCCCGGGCCAGGAAGTGTCCTCGACCCACCCACAGACTGCACAGGGATGCCAGCCCAGTAACACTGTCACAGGAAGAAATTATCTGAGGGCCACTGTTTTCCAGGAACTGTCTGGCAGAGGACACGGCTGAGGCCCAGTGGGGGGCCTGCCTGGATCCCCAGGCCACATCCACCTGCAGGACCTGGGTACAGTGAATTGTCAGAAGGGAAGTGGTCCAGCCAGCATCCTTTCCCAGCTCTCAGCTCCTGGGTTGGAAGGAATGTTCCAAGGTGAAGAAGTGAAGGCCTCGCAGCTGCTGTGCGGCTACATCACCGAGTCAAAGCTGGGAGGTGTCGGGGTGGCGAGGCTGGTGCTGCCATCTGTTCTGGGGTCTGTGTCCCCAGGCTGCTGCATCCAGGCTGTGTGAGCAGAAAGGACATGCACCCCACCCAGTCAGCTGCTGCATCCCATGTCCTGGCCATGTGAGCCAAGGAGGATGCAGTTCCAACTCGGGCAGCTGGTGTACCCCGTGTCCTGGCCGCGTGAGCAGAGAGATGCGTGTCCCACCCCAGGCAGCCACTGCACCCACATCCTGGCTGTGTCAGCCAGGGAGGACACGGTCCCATCCAGGCAGCCCATCAGGTCCAAAGCAGACGGGAGGCACCTCTGAGCAGGACGTGCATCCACCACCCTGAGCTGAGCCCCGGGTACCAAGGCACCAAGTGCTCACTTGCATCCCAGCATCACTCACACCTGGGACTCTGTGTCCCTGCAATGCCGCTCCTCCGAAAAGGAGGGCCTTGCTCCCTGGAGAAGGCAGAGCCTGGCCTTATCCTGGAGGGAGTGCCTCTGCCGAGCCCCTTCAGTGTTGAGCCCCACTCGGTAATAAAACCAGAAGGCCCCCAGTCTGTATGTGGCTTTGTCCACAACATACTCGTAAACTAAGAGACCTCCAGGACAGGCAGCCTATTGAAAGAGAATTGCAGCTTAAAACAGTCAGGTCAACGTCCCCTGCTCCAGGGAGATTTTCAGAATAATTGGCAGGTACGTCTGCTCTAATCTAGAGCCTCCCTTGGAGGTGGGGGTCCCTGGGACCCGAGACTGTCCAAGGTTACGCTGTGGGTGCTTCACTGTGCACTCCATGCTCTTGTCTTGGGGTGCTCTCAAAACCTCAGTGAAGCCATGATTTCTTGTAGCAAAATGCCACTTCAGCAAACTTGCCTGCAGGGGGAGCCAAAACAATTGTATTGGGTACCATCCTGCCGCCTAGAAATGAATCAGGTGGACTTGGAAACCAAATGCGGAATTTAACAGCTAGAGCACCAGTAAGACACAAGCTCTTGGAAGTACAGTTGTTGACAAAAACAGAAAGAACTTTAAATGCAGCTAGTTTCTTGTTTTACTTTCACGCAATACAAACTACACTAATGTTTAGCCTACTGTTCAAGGGATCATGGTACTTCTTTAAACAAAACTTCTTTAAACAAAAACAACGCGGTAGCGGCCCAACGCGGTAGCCTAGTGACTTAAGTCCCTGCCTTGAATGCGCCAGGATCCCATATGGACACCAGTTCATGTCCCAGCCGTCCCACTTCTCTTCCAGCTCAATGCTTGTGGCCTGGGAAAGCAGTCCAGAACAGCCCAAAGCCTTGGGACCCTGCACCCGACCCATGTGGGAAACCTGGAAAAGGCTCCGGGCTCCTGGCTCCAGATCGGCTCAGCTCTGGCTGTTGCAACCGCTTGGGGAGTGAAGCAGCAGATGGAAGATGTTCCTCTTTGTCTCTGCTCTTCTCTGTATATCTGACTTTCCAATAAAAAAAATTTTTTAAGTTTTAAAAAGACGGTTACTTTCTAATGTTTAGATTTTTCATTTTCACTCTGATGCCATGTGCTATCCACATCTCTTAATCTAAGCCTGAATCTCCCGTTGGAATGGCACTCGGTGACTGGGGGATGTCTCTTCCTTAGCATGTGTGCCTTGGTCTTATCCACATTTTAAAATATTTATGTTTTTCTTATTGTAAAGGCAGATCTGCAGAGAGAAGCATACAGAGAGAAAGATCTTCGGTTCCCTGATTCACTCCCCAAGTGGCCATTGTGAAGTTGAGCCAATCCAAAACCAGGAGCCAGGGTCACACGTCCAGGTTGGCCATGCTGGCTGCCCAAGTTCCTGCCCAACCAGTCTGGCTCAGGGAAAGCTCCCCATATCCTGCCCACCCCACATCAAGCCCTGGCTGCAGTAGATTATGCCCCACGAGGCTCAGGCACTTCTACTGGACTGGAAGTCTAGGACTCAGAGCCGGCCTTGCTGGGCCACCTGGTCACCCTGGCCAGTCCTTGGGGTGATCTTTAGTAGGCTGGCTCTGTGTCATGGCATCCTTGCTCTCCTGCAGACACTGGGATGCTGTGTGGGCCACTCGGTCAGAGGAAGGACAGGCTGCCGGCCAGAACACGTCATGGCTGCAGGAGGCTGACCTGTCTGCCCTGCGGCTGCTGGAGGCCCTGCTGCAGACCGGGCCCCAGCTGCTGCTGCAAGCATACATTTTCCTGGACTCGGACTTCACAGACCCTGTGCCAGGTGAGTCACTTCCGTCACAGGATCCAGATGCCGGCTTTCTTGGGGAGCAGGCACCCTCACCTGCCGTAGAAATGCTCCCTCCCAGGCTGGCACCATCAGGTTCCTCGAGCTCAACTGGCAGTGTGCTCCTAGAGCCTGAGCCTCCTGCTGACACTGAGGCACCAAAGTTAGCACGTGAGAAATTGTGCAGAGTCTAAATTGCTCTGAAAGTAACCAGAGAAGCCTGCCTGGCAGTAGAATGCCTGTACCTGTTTAACACCTCTCTAGTCCCCGTCTGCAGCATCCCTGCTCCTTCTCCATACCATGTGACATCCTTCAGGCAGACCCAACAGCAGAGTGCCCAGGGGACACAGTTGTGCATGGAGCCCTAAGGCTCTGCTGGGTCCAAACAGGGCTTGGAGGGACCAAGAACAGGAGGGCTGAGAACAGAACAGCCCAGCCCGTGCAGTGGGAATCCAACCTGTGTCTCCACATTTCTTCCCGGGGGTGACCATGTATGTCTGCGCCCACAGGTTCTAGTGGGACCCGCAGTCAGCGTGCTTGGTGAGGGAACCGCTATAGTCAGGATCCAGGAAGGGACGGGACACAGTCCTCCCGTGCTGATTGCCTTGGGAGCTGAGTGGCCACTCTATCTGCTTCCTTTCCAGGGGTGAGCGCTCTGCTGGCCTGGTCCTCACTGTCCTGGGCCCTGGTGGCCTACGCTCATCTCCTGGGAGCTGTGAAGCCGGGCCGCCAGGCCGGGCCACGGGCCGCTCTTTTCTGCCAGCAGCTCTGGCGGATGGGCATGCTGGGCTCCCGCGTCCTGAGTCTCGTTCTGTTCTGCAAGGCGTACCGTATTTGGGTATTGGTGGTTGGAGGTAAGGAGAGCTACCATCCGACGCCCTGCTCTGTAGCAAGACCCCAGTGAGTCAACCTCCCACTAGGTAACAAGACTGCCCCAGGTTCTTGCTCCGGGCCTCTGTGGTTGGAGAAGGGAAGCAGGTGTCTAAGCAGGAGGCCTCAGGAGGCTGTGTGCACAGGTGTCATCTTCATGCACGTGTCTTCCCATTCCCATCCCGGGGTTTCCCATGAGCCCTCGCTTCAGCAAAGCAGGCTGCACTCAGCCTTGGCTGATGAACATCCCACGCGAGAGGAAGTAGAAACAGCCTTCTTAGAAGACAGGCCCGTGGCTGACACAGCCGTTAGGACGGCGGGCCTGAGTGCCGCTGCAGGGTGTATTTCTGGTCCAGCCTCCTGTTGGTGTGCACCCTGCGCAGGCAGCAGGGGATGGCTCGAGGAGCTGGGTCCTTGCTCCACACCAGGGAGCCCTGGCTTCAGCCAGGCCCACGCCCTGCGCTTGGCCAGCATATGGGGAGTTGACCAGCAGAGACAAGAGTTCTCTCGCTCTTTCTGCTTTTCAAATGAAATACAAATAATAACCAAGAATTCTTTTCAAAGGTGAGTCCCAGAGCTAGCTCAGCACAGCTCCTGCTGGTCAGGGGGTCACGGCTAGCTCTGGTTTGGCATCACAGCGGAGTGACCTACAGCAATCCGTGGGTCTCCAGGGCAGGAGGGACACATGTGGCTCTCCCCACTGGCTCTCCTGGCTGCAGCCTGCCAGCCTGCACAAGGCAGGCTGACTGATGCCGTAGCACGCTGTCGCTCCAGAGGGAGTTGCCCACTTGCCGAGTGGTGCCCACTTGCCGAGACCCCTGGGAGGGCGTCCCAGTGCTGGGGTGTGGGACACTGCCTGCAGCCTCGGGCAGCTCCCCTCCGGCTTTGAACACAGAGTCTCGGATTTTGCCTTCATTCCCAAGAAGACAGCTCCAAGCTGTGCCCTGAGTGCACGCGATGGAGACGGGCTGACAGGGAGCCGGAGTGGGACCTGCAGGGCCCTCCACGGAGACGGATCCACTGGGCCAGGAAGGACAGAGCCGTCCTGTTCTAGGTGGACTGGGGCCTGGGCTCTAGGGCAAACATTTACCACTTACTGAAAGAAAAGAGAATTTTCTGGAGAGAAAAAAATAAAAGACCTGTGCTCCTCTAAGGAGAGATCAGTGATTTTTCATGCAGTTTACGATTCAGTTTGAACCGCACAATGCTATTATTCATCTAAAAACGTGGGACTAAAAACTGCAACCAGGCCACCTTTGGGTGTGCAAGTTTCAGTGCAAACAATTTTATTACTGTCTCTCTAATCACTTCCCAGAACCAAAAGGGCATAATCAATACATCACAGGCGATGTGCATTATTGATGCCAGTCGAAAGGGATGCCCCCAGCCCTGCCTTCTGCATGCCTGCTCCTCCCCCAGCCCAGCCAGCCCAGCCCCCAGCCCAGCCCAGCCCCCAGCCCAGCCCCCCCAGCCCAACCCCCAGCCCAACCCCCAGCCCCCCCAGCCCACTGTGGGGCCCTAAGCTCTGTGTCCGGCCTTCCTCCAGGTGCACACTGGCTGGGCATGACGTTCTGGCTTGTGGCCCAGCAGAGTGACATCATCGACAGCACCTGTCACTGGAGGCTGTTCAACCTGCTTGTGGGGGCTGTGTACATCTTCTGCTACCTCGACTTCTGGGCCAGCCCTTCCAGAAACAGGATGGTCACATTCTACCTGGCAAGTGTGGTCCTCCCAACTCTGATGGTGTCCCTAGCACATGAAGGGTGTGTGTGAGAGTGGCTACCCTGTTCTCAAGTTCAGACCTTGGGAATAACAGTAAGCCACTACGCGGACCTAACATCAGACAGGGTCCCTGTGTGCCAGTCACTGTCAGGCAAAGCCCATGGTGCAGATGGGGAAACTGAGGCACACTTGACTCAGAAGGAGGGTGACTCAGATCCTGCTGGGCTGATGTGACAGATGGTCCTTAGCCACCAAGCCACCCTGGCCGGCAGTGGCTCCAGGAGGGAGCTGAGGCCTGCCAAGCAGTTACTGCTCAGCCTGGCTGGGGGCAGAGGCACGCGGGGCCTCTCAGAGATTCCCAGGCCTTCCTCGGAGGTCCTGGCTCTGTGGGTGTGGGTGAGGCCGGGAATCTGGGTTTCCCAGGCCACTCAGGTGGCACTGCTGCCCAACCCAGGTGGCGGCAGGGCTGGGCACCTGCACGCACCTCCCCGTGCAAGGAGTCGGTGCTTAAACAGTAGAGCGCATCCCCTGCATGGCTCTGAGAGCGCATGAGGCCCGACTCCCTGCGTCTGCTCACCAGGGGTTGCGTCCTGCTTCTTCCTTGCCCAGAAATGGAATTAGATGCGGAGGGGAGAGGCAGCCAGGCTTGGGGGGCGCAAAGATCCCCAAGTGTGCAGCCTTTGCGATCAAAGGCAGGACATCCCACGGGAAGGAAGAAGCAGGTACAGGGCCGAGTTCGGGTGGGAGTGGGAGGCTCTGCAGAGGTGACCTTGGAGATGAGGGGTGGAGTGAGCCAGGTGGGCCTGGGCTGGGGGCCGTGCTGCAGGAGCAGCCTGAGGGGCCGGGAAGGGGCTGTGCCTGCAGTGACCCACCCACATGCACCGGGGCTGAGAATGGGTCTCCCGCAGTGCCACTGCAAGGGGAGTCGGGTGCGAACTCAGGGGGAGACTGTGCAAGGGGCACAGAGGCAAGGCTTCAACAGCGATGGGAACGCACAGAGGGCGTGTCATGGAGCACCCCCTGACCCCAGGAGTCCACCTGGCCAGCACCAGGCTTTGCTGAAACGCATTCTCCCGATGGCTTTGGGCTGCAGTCACGGGAGATCCCCGGCACGCCTGCTCTTGGAGCGGGAGGTGACTGGACGGTCCTTGCCAAGGGTCTGCCATTCCCCATGGCCACGCTGAGGTCTCACTGGGGGGACGGGAGGGCCAATGGGGGCTGGGTCACGGGGAGACTTGGGGCACTGCCTGGAAGGTGAGCCAGGAAGGGAAATTGGAGCCGAGTGGTCAGCAGTGCTCCCTGGACTGGCCACTGAAGGTGCGCTCAGAAGGGCTGTTTTAGGGTACGCCGGGAGTGAGAGCTCCTCTAGGAGGGGTGCAGGCCACCAGCTCTCCACAGCTGTTGGCTCTCACTGGCAAGGCAGTCTTCAGCGTTGGCAACTCAAGTCTTGGCTGGCAGGCAGCTCTGTCCCGCAGTGGGATCCCACCCCAGCAGGCCCAGGCATCTTAACTGCATTTTGCATTTGTGAGACTTTCAACTGACAACAGGCTTAATTGGGAGATAGCCCCATCATAATAATTTTGAATTGTGTTAAGTTTTTGTTGTTTGTTTTCATTTAAAAAAATGTTTTTATGTTTAACATTTGAGAGGGAAACTGGAAGGGACAACATGGAAGCGGGCACCAGGCTGGGCAAAGAGGCCGTCCTTGTGGACCAGTGCAAGGCAGGCGCCACTGCTGCCGCCTGATGGCCACAAGACAGATTCATCTTTGAAGGCACAAATGGAGCATTGGAAGGGCAGAACTCAGGGGCACCTCGGATCCCACTGGCATGTCCCTGGTTGCACTGGCCCTGCCCGCACTCAGCATGAGAGCAGAGGCATACAGGAGGCTGTGAAGGGGAGCCCCGGGGCCCCAGGAAGCAAGGGAGCAGCTGCTGGCGAGGGTAGGGAGGTCCAGGGCCTCCAGGAGTTCTTGTGCCAGGTGTGGTGGCGACCCCCCTTGCTCCCTCAGGTCATGCTGCTGGAGAACGCCGCCCTCCTGCTGCTCGCCACTGACTTTGTCCCGAGGGAATCGCAGACCAGCCTGTGGACCGCAGTGGGGGCCATGTCTGCATTTCTGACTGGTAAGACCTAGTGTTGACTGCCTGTCCTTGTCCCCTTTCCACGCTAGTTTTCCTCTAGGGATGGACACGAGGGGCAGGAAGCCGAGCTCAGGGCGGGATGGGAGCTCGCCACAGGCCGTCTCCACTGGGGCACAACGTCTGGGGTGCAGTGGTCCTACCCAGCCTCTCCGTGGATGAAGGCTGGGGTCCCTCTCCTCTCGGGCCTCAGTCTCCCTGGCAGGGAGCTCCTGCTGATGATGGCACCATGAGCTGCTCATCCACAAGCACGCTGGGCAGGGTGGGTACCCAGCAGTGGAGGAGGCACAGAGGCGGGTGAGTGGTGCCCACAACACCAGACTCTCAATCAGTGGTGGCTGGGATACAACTCATTGCAATGCGGGCATCGGCCCGGTGCCTGCAGCCTGGGGTCGTTGTCACAGCCCGTGCATGGGAGATCCTGGGCACAGGCCATGGCTGCCCGTCTGTGTGGGCTCACAAGGGAGTCCTCTGCTGCTGGTGCTGACATGCTGTTCCTGGCCCAGCAGATTCCACCTGCCCACCTCATCCACAGGCCTGCTTGGAACTGTCCAGGGCAGCCCCCAGCACAGCCCCCACAGTCCTATGCTCCCAAAGCATGGCGCAGTACCCGGTTCCCCAGGCTGTCTGTGCCATCTCATGCCCGGAGCCCCAGCTCTCGGTCACTCACACTCTTGAGGCGTGAACAAAATCCCAGGACAGCTCCAGCTTCACCCTGGCCGGTGTGAGCAGCTGTGACCAGGGACAGGAATGACTGGAGAGAAGAAGGTGCACAAATCCTGCCTTCCGACCCATGCCGGAGCGCCTCAAAGCACCCGTCCCCTCTCCCTCGGATGTCCTGGCTTTCCACCTGCTAGACCGCGGGGTGACTCAGCCAACTCTTCCTTTTCCAATCAAGCCTTTGCTTTGAGGCAGCTGCAGTTTTATTTTGCTTTCTAAGATCTAGTTACTTATTTGAAAGGCACAGTGACAGACAGCAAAGGAGAAACAGCAGTCTTCCATCCACAGGTTCGCTCCCCACATGGCCACCGTGGATCCCAAGAATCCTTCCAGATCACTCGTGTGCGTGCAGGAACTCGAGCCTTGGGCCACTCTTCACTGCCTTTCCGGCTGTATTAGCAGGGAGCTCTATTGGAAATGGAGCAGCCAGGATTCGATCCAGTGTCCATGTGGGATGCCTGTGTTGCAAGTACTGGCATTACCTGCTATACTACAATGCCAGTGAGATAGTTGCATTTTCAATAGTGGCGGGTCCCTATGCCCATTAGCCGCTTTGCCCAGTGGTATCGGCCTGAGAGGCCAGTGCGGCATCACCGTGATGTGACGCGGTCAGGACTGGGAGAGCAGGCATTCAGAGCCCATCACCGCGCCCCTTCCTCCCACTCCCTCTGCCAATCTGCAGTTCTGTCACACAGGGAGTGCTATGTGGACGGGACCTGGGTTCTGTTCCCTCAGCCCAGTTCCCTGGGGCCGCCCGCATTGCTGTGTGCATCCACAGCTCTGTCCTTTACATGAATAGGCCATGCTCAGTGTTTATACAGAAAACTGACCCGCCTCAGGCTGACCTGGGTGCTCCCAGCCCACTTTGAGCAGCCCTGAGACCTGCAAGGTGCTTGGGCCGAAGGGGCTCTGCCAAGAGCAAGGTCTCATTGCTTGTTCAGAGTCTGGGGTGCACAGGACAGGGTGTAACAGACCCGGGGGGGGGGGGCACAATGATTGGAAAACAGAAATAGCCTCCTGTAGCATGGCTCAAATGGCCAGAGTGAAGCCTGCTGTTCCCTCAGCTTCCAGTAGGTGGAGCCGGCTGCAGCCACTAAGCAGGCATGGGGCTGGTGGGAACCCTGGGCGGCAAGGTGCAAGGGCATGACCATGCCAGGGACACAGGCTCCAAGGCTGGCAGTGCCAGAAGCTTCCAGGGTCATCCAGGAGTTTCTCCTGCCTGGTTTCCCTTGACCAACAGCTGCTGAGCACCCACCACCTGCTGACCTGGCTTTGGGGGAGCTAGCCCTCAGAGTAACAGTGTATCCTGGGGCTCTCACAGCCTCATGCGGTGGTGCTGCCAGGGACATGAACACACAAGAGTTCACCACGGTACCCCCCCCAATCCCTGCCACTCACTGGCTGCGTGCCGTGGGTCTGCTCCTCCTCCCATCCCAGCCCCTGCCCCCACACAGACACCCAGCGGTCCCCAGAGAGCCGCTGCCAGCCCAATGCCACCAATCCTGTCCTGGCCCCCTCGGACTGCAAGATTCCGGCACTGACTCCAGGTCTGTGCTGTTTATAATATGCCCCCCGCATGCAGGCACTTGATGCAGTGCAACAGGAAACTGGAAATACCGTGGGAGGCTTACTGGAAGGCTCTGTTAAAGAAATTACTGCCGCAGTCAACACTTCTGATCAAAATAAATTAACTGAGCACGACGTGATTAAGATGTTTATGCCCAAAGGAAGCGCTGCTGCTCATGGAAATTCCGTGGCCGGGCTTTGGGTGCAGCTGATTAACCTCTGCCTGCCTAGGTCTTTCTTGTTTTGCAGGCCCTGTTTACCTCTCCCCGCCCTCACGCTGTGTGTGGGTGGTGGAATTCTGAGCTCTGGACTCAGAGGAAGTAGGCCCATTTTTCCCAAAGCTCTCACCCACGTGTGTGCACTCACTCCCACAGCCCCAGGCCCTCGCCCCCGACCACACTCCCCAGCCGCTGCTAAGAGGCTGGCACCGGGTCGTGCACCCAAGCTCTGCTTTTCCACTTTCAGTTTAGAGCTATCTGATGCTGGTGGAAGTTAGAACCTGCTTAAATCCCCCCCAAATATTCCCAGCTTTGAGGGCCCCACAGAAGTCCTATTTGGGATCCTATTTTATATAAGTGAATGAAAAATGCAACTAAAAGACTTTCGTTTTGGTGCAAAAAAAAAAAAAAACCTGAAGCACATGGGTGCTCACCTTGCCATACACCGGACAGCCGAGGTGGAGTTTGCAGGGCATTCAGACACACAACCTTGAGCTCTCCCCTTCTCTTTCGCAGGCAGTGTCTCTCTGGTCACTTATTACAGCCTGCTCCATCCCAGAGCCTCATCCATCTGGCAGGGATTCATCAGGAAGTGCTGCACCGTGGCAGCAAGCGACAAAGCCGAGACTCCATCCCCACCTCGTGCTGCAGCCCGCGCTGGAGCGAGGTCGGGCTCCAGCCCAGAGGAGCCTAATGAGCTCAGAAGTCCGGCAGAGTCCCCCAGCCTGGAGATGAGCCCTTCAGAGGCTGGGCTGTGGGACCAGACTTCTGGGCCAGACTCGTTCCTCAGTGCCCACCACTGGCTGCTGCTGAAACTTGCCCTGAAAACTGGAGACGTGTCTAAAATCTACACAGTCTTTAGAGATGACCGGCCTGGCTGGCTCTGTGCCCCTACGTGGACATCGAGTCCACGCTGCAGCCTGCAGGGGAGGCCCCCGTGTTCCCAGCAAGAGTCCCCATCTGCCATCCATGGGCTCTCATTGGGAGAGAACGGCTCAGAGCCTGAAGACACCCAGGAGGAAGTGGCTGGCCCCTGGGACACCTCCAGTTATGTCTCTCTTGCCTGTGAGCCTCAGGACAGCGTGCCTATCCAGATGCCTTCGGCTGCTTGGCAGGAACATAGTCAAATGGAGGCAGCTGAGGCTGAGCCTGGGAACCAAGGAAGGGGTTTGGGGGAGCAGCCAGGAGCAGGGGAAGGCCAGTACAGCACCACAGTGTACTTCAGCGCCACTGCGGAGGGGACCGTGTCCCAGGAAGGCAGTCTCGTGGCTCCACAGATGTCCCACACTGGGAGGAGGCCAGGAGTGAGCATCCCTGTGCAGCCAGCCTCGCCCCAGCCCACTGCGGGGCCCTGCCCCATCACCGTGGCCAACATCAGCCCCATCCTAGGCGTGGGTCCATGTGGAAACTTGTGCTCCATTGCAGCCTGTGCTGAGAGAGTCCCCCACGGCTCAGAGCGTGGAGAGCGGCAGCAGCCGGCAGGGGACCTAAATCATCCCTCAGTGCCGAAGATGAGCCTCAGACCTGCCGGCGAGCCCTTCCTCACATCCACACCGAAGACTGAGTCCGTGCAAAAGGGTGGTGGCTGCAGGGCCAGGCCAAGGCACGAGGTGAGCTTGGTCGTCTGATCACAGTCCTGGTAGGTGGCAGGCTGGGGGGTGGGCATGCTGAGAGGAGGCCGCCCCCCCCCCCCCCCCGCTGCTGACACGTGCCTCTTGGAAGCACCTCTTCCCCTCCTGCAGGAGGGAGCGGGGCTGGGCGACCTCACGCGAGCCAACGCAGTGTGGCAGAGAGAAAAAGCCTGCACTTCCTTTGACTACGTGACTGATTTCCACTTTATGCTTTTGCTGTGGCTTCTAGGAAACTCAGTTGTAAAACCCACGGTCCTTGTTTTATCTTGGGTTCTTTCTATGCAGTCGGCTTGATACCAAAGGGATTATTAGTCCATTTTTAAGTGAATTCCCCCTGCGTAACTTTACGGATCTCATGGTAAGAAAGTGCGAGCTGCTTCCGGAGGCAGATGAACTGTGTGTGGTCAGCAACGGCACTGAAGGCCTCCCAGCCGACCTGCTCCCTGCACGGCCCTGTTGACCACGGCCAGCCCATGGTCATCTGTCAGTTCCCACTACTGCGTCTCTCTCCAACTACTTTATCTCGAAACTTCGTCCTTCATCTGTTTGATGTGGGATATAGTCCATGGGGGATTTTTATTATTTATTTGAAAGGCAAGAGTAACAGAAAAGAGATGGTCCATCTTCTGGTTCACTCCCCAAATGGTCTTACCAGCCAGGCCAAAGCCAGCAGCCTGGAGCCCCTTCCCGGTCTCCCCTGCAGGTGTCAGGGCACAAATACCTGAGACATCTTCTGGGCTCTCCTAGCACGTTAACAGGGAGCTGGACCAGAGGCAGTGCAGCCAAGACTCAAACCCATACTCCGATGTGGGCTGTTGGCAGCTCAGCTCACGGGGCCGTGCCTCCAGGCCCCAGCCCGTGTTTAAGTTCAGGGAATGAGGAGGGAAGCTGATGGGCATTCCCCAACGTTCCTTTTCTCTCCAGCTCTCCTCCTCAACGATGTCATTTGTGGACAGGTCCCCCATGTGGCTAAGGACGGGCAGTCATACACCATCAAACAGGAAGGCACAGGCAGCTGTGGGTTTTATGTCCACACACCTCTGGGTTCTGGGTCAGCCACTGCACCACTGGACTCTGCCTAGTCTGTGCTGAAGGCAAGACACTGCGTGCACAGCTCTCGGGCTGCCAGCACCCATGATCCAAGACAACAGATGGGATGTCAGAACTCTTGATGCATCAGGTGGATACAAGGTACAGAGCAGAGCATTCCCTGCCAGTGACACGTCACAACCTCCTACGCGCTCTGTCTCACCTAAACGGTGAAAACCCTCAGGCCTCGCCCTTGGTCCTGTTTTTATTTTTAAGATTTATTTATTTTTATTGTAAAGTCAGATATACAGAGAGGAGGAGAGGTAGAAAGGAAGATCCTCCGTCCGTTGACTCATTCCCCAGTGGCTACAACGGCTGAAGCTGCGCCGATCCGAAACTAGGAGCTTGGAGCTTCATCCGGATCTCCCACACAGGTGCAGGGTCTGAAGGCCTTGGGGCATCCTCAACTGCTTTCCCAGACCACAAGCAGGGAGCTGGATGGGAAACGGGGCTGCTGGGATAGAACAGCTCCCATATGGGATTCCAGTGTGTGCAAGGCGAGAATCCCAGCCACCATGCCAGGCGCTGCTCATTGGTTCTTAACTGGAACCTCCTGTTCATGTGTGCCCCCAGAGCTGGCTCTGGGATCCCCCCCCAGCCTTCCTGCCCCACCTCCCTCTGTCAGGGGTGCCCTCTGGCTTCTTTTTCTACAACTTGAGTCCTTCCTGGAGAAAATGTAAGAGTGTCTTCTGTTTAGAGCTCTATATCTTCAAGGGCAGCACAGGGCCTGGCCTGGCACAAATTGGGTCAAGAAGCTCACAGGCTGGCTTGGTGCCAGTGGAGTCACTGGTGGTGACTCCGGTGCCCATCCTGGCAGAAAGGCACTTGGGCCCTGATTGTTGTCAAGTTTCAGTATGCCTCCCAGGTGACACCAGGTCCCCCCAAAAATGCTAGGAAATGGCTCGTTCCATCCACATGCTTGAAGGACTCTGGATTGAGTTTCCGGGACCTGGGGCATGGTGAGACAGAACAGTGATGTGGTTTTCCAGTATGTTCCACCATAGCAGGACACGTACGTCCTTCTTGGGCCCTCCCCCAAATCCTTCCTCAAGCTAAGCGCTGGTTACACTAAGGAATCAAACACCAGGAGAGAATTTTACTTTAAATTTTGTCTCATTATTGTCCTTATTCCTTTGGTTTTTCGGGTTATTTGAAAAGCAGAGAGACCAAGATCTCATCCATTGTTTCATCCCCCAAATGCCCACAGCATCGGAGCCAGGCCAGCAGCCAGGAAGCAGCAGCCAGGCCAGCAGCCAGGAAGCACAGCTCCATCCAGGCCTCCCGTGCAGTCAGGCCATCGCCTGCCGCATCCCAGCATGCATTAGCAGAGAGCTGGAGGGGAAGCAGAGCAGCCAGGATGCCAACTGGCACCACCAACTTGGCTCTTGTGCCAAATGTCCGCTCCTGGTTGTTCTCCTTAAAAGAAACTAGTTGGTGTCCTGAAATTGAGTCTACTTTCCATAATTCTCAGGATCACTGATTGGCCTTATTACTCAAAGACCATCCCAGGAGTTTCCTGGGATGTGAGATTTTAATGCTAAAATCGGGTACTCCCCAGCCGAGCAGGATCGCTAGGATTAACGTGGTCCAAGACGTTAGGCTGCCACTAGGTCTTCATCCCACATCAGAACCCTGGTGGGGACCCAGCTGATCCACCTCTGACACAGCCTCTTACTGCGTACCCGGCAAAGCAGCAGAGGATGCTTTGCGCGCTTCAGCCTCTGCCATCGCGTGGGACAGCAGGAAAATGCTCCTGGCTCCTGGCTTCATCTTTGCTCAGCCCCTGCTGCCGCGGCCATATGGGAAGTGAACCAGCAGATCCCAGTGTGACTTTCAAATAAACAAAATAAAGGCTGTTTGCCATCCCAACTCATCCGGGTCAAACCTACTCAGTTTTCCACTTTAACAGAAAATGCTTTCAGCTTAGATATCTGAGAGACAGTATAAGTTCAACGCAGTTACTCCCACCTGCCCCCAATCACACGTGCCCACTCACTACACACACACACGCACACACTCCCACCTGCCCCCAAGCACACACGCACCTACTCACTACACGCACACACACACACACACTCCCACCTGCCCCCAAGCACACACGCCCACTCACTACACACACACACACACACACACACACACACACACACACTCCCACCTGCCCCCAAGCACACACGCCCACTCACTACACACACACACACACACACACACTCCCACCTGCCCCCAAGCACACGCGCCCACTCACTACACACACACACACACACACACACACACACACACACACACACACACTCCCACCTGCCCCCAAGCACACACACACACACACATGCACACTCCCACCTGCCCCCAAGCACACACGCACCTACTCACTACACACACACACACACACACACACACACACACACACACACTCCCACCTGCCCCCAAGCACACGTGCCCACTCACTACACACACACACACACACACACACACACACACACACACACACACTCCCACCTGCCCCCAAGCACACACGCGCCCACTCACTACACACACACACACACACACATACACTCCCACCTGCCCCCAAGCACACGTGCCCACTCACTACACACACACACACACACACACACTCCCACCTGCCCCCAAGCACACACGCCCACTCACTACACACACACACACACACACACACACACACACACACTCCCACCTGCCCCCAAGCACACACGCGCCCACTCACTACACACACACACACACACACACACACACTCCCACCTGCCCCCAAGCACACACGCACCTACTCACTACACGCACACACACACACGCACACACTCCCACCTGCCCCCAAGCACACGTGCCCACTCACTACACACACACACACACACACACACACACACACACACTCCCACCTGCCCCCAAGCACACACGCACCTACTCACTACACGCACACACACACACGCACACACTCCCACCTGCCCCCAAGCACACGCGCCCACTCACTACACACACACACACACACACACACCTGCCCCCAAGCACACACGCACCTACTCACTACACGCACACACACACACACGCACACACTCCCACCTGCCCCCAAGCACACACGCACCTACTCACTACACACACACACACACACTCCCACCTGCCCCCAAGCACACGCGCCCACTCTCTACACACACACACACATACACACACACACACACACTCCCACCTGCCCCCAAGCACACACGCCCACTCACTACACACACACACACACACACACACACACACACACACACACTCCCACCTGCCCCCAAGCACACGCGCCCACTCACTACACACACACACACACACACACACTCCCACCTGCCCCCAAGCACACGCGCCCACTCACTACACACACACACACACACACACACTCCCACCTGCCCCCAAGCACACACGCCCACTCACTACACACACACACACACACACTCCCACCTGCCCCCAAGCACACGCGCCCACTCACTACACACACACACACACACACACTCCCACCTGCCCCCAAGCACACACGCCCACTCACTACACACACACACACACACACACTCCCACCTGCCCCCAAGCACACGCGCCCACTCTCTACACACACACACACATACACACACACACACTCCCACCTGCCCCCAAGCACACGTGCCCACTCACTACACACACACACACACACACACCTGCCCCCAAGCACACACGCACCTACTCACTACACGCACACACACACACGCACACACTCCCACCTGCCCCCAAGCACACACGCCCACTCACTACACACACACACACACACACTCCCACCTGCCCCCAAGCACACGCGCCCACTCTCTACACACACACACACATACACACACACACACACACACTCCCACCTGCCCCCAAGCACACACGCCCACTCACTACACACACACACACACTCCCAC